TATATATATATTTAGACATTTAAATGATTTTGAATACAAATTTGTGGCTTTTTAAATATTTCAAGAAAATGTCATTTTACTTTTGAGATATGCACACACACATATATATACATTTGTATTTATTTATTTATTTTTCACAAATGGCTACTTGGGTGTTTTATAAAATATGAAATAAAATAATATATGCATATATTGTATATATTTCTCTTCAAAAATCAAAAAAAAAAAAAAATAATTGTAACAAGCAAATTTGGCAAGTTGTTTGCTAAAACACAATTAAACGACCCGTCACACAGGGTCAACGTCAGCTCATGCTGAAGGCACCTCTGAATCCCTCAATTAGCAGTCGACATTGCGGACTGAAAAGCATTCCTGAGTCTAGAGCAACCCCGTCCAATGCCTTCAAATCTGCTAACAACAAAGAGTTAAAGATGTCTGCTGTGCTTCCTCTTGTAATTGTCTTTGGCAGGGCTGAACTCTGGGGAGGCAGTTGCCGCAGCCTCAGAGCCTGTAATTTTACTTTACCAAAATCATTTTTGAGCTTAAACAATGACTAACAGGTGAGGAGGAAAGCCAGAACACCAGATACTTCTGCTGTGCTTTTAAACACAGAATTGTTAACAAATGACAAGCAGGGATTGTGGTACTCAGTTGGGGAGTAACTCAGTAAACGCGGCGACATCACAGACTTTACTACCTTACTCAACTCTTGCTGAAAACTATCAAAGCTTCTCATTTACTACATTTACATTTATGCATTTTGCAGATGCTTTTATCCAAAGTGACTTGCAATGCATTTAAGGTTTACAAGATATAGAACTAATATTAAACTGATATAGAACTCATATTTTTCTAGTTTAATTAGTTGCATTTAGTGTTAATTCCTTTGTTCAATTATGTCAGTAATAGTGACTGCATGGTAAACTGTAAAATGCTACAGAAAAACTGTTAATAGGTCAACAGCAAGTTCCCGTAATACTTACAGGGGAAAACTGTAAACGATCTAACCGGACATTTCATGTCATTTTTACCATGAAATACTGTTAAATGTACAGTTTTCACAAGTAAACATTCAAATCAAATTATAATTTACCGTGAAAAACTGTAAAATGGAATTACAGTTTTATACTGTATTTTTACAGAATTATTCTGGCAACCATAGCTGCCAGGATTTTTTTGTAAAAACAACAGGATTTTGTGTTTTTTCACCAGGTAAATACTCTGACTGCTCTCATTTTAGAAACCAATAATCTTATATCCAAAGAGGATACATATCTTTAATACTCAATTTCACACATGAAACATGAAAAACATGTTGAATTGCATTAAAACTGCCTTTTATAGCAATTGTACACATCTGGTATTTACACACATTGGTTTTATTCACACATCAGCACCAACTAATGTTGAAATACTTTTGTTTACCATAAATTACCATTAAACAGCAGTGCAGTTATCACTAATTAAAACTAAGACTATATATATATACACACACAAGATATACATATAGCACATAGCAAAATTACTAACACTTAAAAATTTAAATTCAAGTATAAAAAAAATGCTAATTCAAAATATTAATAAATACTATAATAGTAATACTAAAATAACATTGTTAAACATCTGGAGAAGCTCTTTAGTTTCAGTATCTGTCCAGTTTGACAATATTTCCTTCTACAACGTAAATAATCACAATTTTGAAATCTGTTGTCACAGGATTAGACCTAATTGGTGTGGAGTTATTGCATCAATTCTGTCAGAACTTCATAACTGGCTCAAACAAAGTTCTTAAAGCACCCTAACCTCAGATCTGTTAACCATACAGTACAGATTTGTTCGCACAGCATTCAGTCCATGCTATGGCATCTTAACCTTTTTAAAACACAGATTCTGTTCACACATGACCTCTGAATGAAATATGAAAAATGTGAACTGCCTAACGTTATTATCTTTTGTTAGTAGTTTGTAGTTCGTGTAGTTGACTATGTTTTCAAAAGAACAGCCTGACAGTAGTGTACTTTAAATTATAAGCAGGTTGTAGTTTGGAAAGCTACATTTTCAAAGTAGTTTCCCCAACATTGGTGGTCAACAAATGACAAACTAAAACATCAGAGGACCTTTGAGGTGGTTCGACAGAGAAAAAAAAATCTAATAGGCTTTTCGAATTAACAAAGACGTTGTCGTTTACTAAACGTCAGACAGCTAAGATTAATGTCTTTTGTTGTGAGTCTGCAGTCATCAAACGTTTTCACCATACGTGCTCTGCGACGTGTCACTTTGGCTGTCTGATGTCCCTCTATTCCAAAGGGTTTTTGATGTGGGCTTCTGGTTTTCCTTCTTGTTTCTTCACAGCTTAAGTGAATGTGACACACAGCTGGGTGCTGAAGACAGATCCTGTTCAGCGATGAACGGCTGGGAAGGAACACAGTTAGGAGCGCTGATTTCCATTAGCGCTGACGTGTATGGAGGATGTGACCCACCACCATGTCCCAACTGTCGCAAAACCATCCAAATGAAAGCATTTCTGACCTCATCCTGCATAATAGGAGCTAATGCTGCGTTCCATTCGACTCGGAAAGTCAGAATTTCCAACTTCCTACTTGGAAAGGTGCAACAGAAAGTCAAACTTCTAATTTGGAAACTTGTGCGGAAATCTAGGTGCCAACATTACATAATAATCAGACCTGTTTAGTAAACGTTTGCAGAGACTGCCGTGTAAAACATGGTAAATGATCATCTCTGTTGACTATCATACATTTCATGGCATCATTTAACCTTTGCAGTTTGGTGGCTAAGAGACATCTTTAAATAAAATCGAGCTAAAATCTATCTATCTATCGCTTGTTCTTACTGTCTGTAAGGTGATTAAAGATTTTTTTCAAAACTTTCAAACATGGGTATTTCACGCAGCATTCAATGTTTGTCAAGACTTTTCCAGTTAAAAGAATATGAATGAATTTCTTATATGAATTTCTTTGATTTTTAATTCATAATAATTCTGCATACACCACTGTTCAAAAGTGGTCTGTAAAATGTAGTAATGTTTTTGAAAGAAGTCTCTTCTGCTCATCAAGGCTGCATTTATTTGAATAAAATACAGAAAAATCTGTAATACTGTGAAATATTATTACAATTTTAAAAAGCCACGTACTATTGTCACGTGTATGTTCCTGTTGAGTTCCTGTTTGCCCTTATTTGGTTCTTCCTGTGTCCTGTCCTCATTTCATCTGGGAACGAATCAATGTGAAGTTATACGACACATATATCAGGGCTCGAGGTGTCTGAGGAGAAGTGCAGACAGACAGAAGAGGGCAGAGAGAGAGACAGCGAGAAACAGAAAGAGACTAACACTTGATGTCTGGATATCGTCCAAACTCGCTTGCACCACCCCCACCCGGCTGGCCTGAATTCAAACAGATTCGTCCTCACATCACAAACAGAAAGCACATCTCCTCCCCTCCACCAAAGGAAACC